ATCACAACTTTAATTCCTGTAATTTTGGTAATAGGTAAGTTATCTAAAATAAAATCAACATTTACTTGATATCTTTTATTATAAAATAAACAAAAAATGTATAAATAAAAATAAATTTAATAAAATTGGCCCTAATATCACAGAAATGAAATGGTTAACTTTTAAGGTTATCCTGTGATGTATTACAGATACAGTATATGGTACTAAACGCCTGTTATTACAGACCACGTAGACCTAAAATACAACACTTAATTTGATGCAATATGTCTTTTTTTTTCTTAAAGTGAAAGATCCCTGATCTAGATTGCACACTTTTTTGAAGTAATTTTTTGTTTTTAAAATTCTTCCAAAGTTGCCAATGTGGTTGTATATTTACTGACCTCCAGTAGTGAATCAGTGGAGTGAATCATGGGACGGCATAAAAAAAATCCTCCTGCTCACAATGGGGAATATGCTTGACCTTTACATTTATACCGTTCGGCTTTTGTATATAAAAACTTTCCCTGCCTTACTGTATATTGCCCTATCATTCAGAGAGAAATGCCTGAAACCTTGATTCTATGAAGAAAAAGAGAAACCGAAATATTAACACACGGCAACTTTATGTTCTCTGTCAATCCAGAGGTCAGATTTCAGAGCGAGAGATGACAGTTTTATCAGGACGACAAATGGCAGCAAAGAGGGGAGAAGAAGATCTGTTGTAGACTTTAAAGAGCTCACCCTGAAGAACAACAACCCTAAAATCTATGGTTCTGGAACTGGATTAAACGGGCCTAGTTTGAATGAAATGGGGGTCACAAACTTGACACCAGGCGATATGATGCCAGATACAGTATTCACAGTGCAATGCTAACACCTAAAATATAAGACTATCAGTAAAAATAAAATGTTGCACATTTAATGTACATACTGTATAAGCATTAATATTAGTAATATAAATATAAGCATTTCATCTCCAAGACAAAGTGGAGAAATGAAAAAAAAAAAAAAATAGATTCATGGAAATGCTTTGAAATTTCAAACAGGCAGCAAGGGACACTGAGATTTGAACAAGTTTTTACTCAGTAGTCTGCAAACACAGTGATTAGTGTCCTTGTAGCCTGAGGCAAAAAGGTTTATTTGCAGAACCACCAGCATTCAAAGTTAAATGGCGGGTCATTAAACATTTATTCCTTATTGACTATGCTTAAAACATCCTTCCTATAACTGTAAAAGGCATTTAAATTTGACGGCGTCTTAAAAGAGTCATACAAACAGTAAACATTGATGGGCCTGCAAGAGTTTGTGTGAAATGAGGCAAGAACAGCATCAAACCTTGTAATGCGACATGAACGCAGGCTTTCCTATTTTAAAGCCTCTATTTTGCCATTTTTTGACAACATATTCAGATATGGGCGGCAGTGGCTCAGTGGTTCATGTTGGTTGTCTACAAACCGGAAGGTTGTTGGTTCAATCCTCGTTTCCACCTGACCAAGTGTCGAGGTGTCCATGAGCAAGACACCTAACCCCAGCTGCTCCCGACGAGCTGGATGGCGCCTTGCATGGCTGCCGTCGCCCGTCGGTGTATGAATGAGTGAGTGAATGTGAGGCAAATTGTAAAGCGCTTTGGTGGCCATTGGGTCTGTGAAAGCGCTATATAAATGCAGTCCATTTACCAGATACCTTTAATACCATTTTTGGTTACATCACAGAGGGAAAATAAGCATATAACATATTTTATTTTAAATAAATTAAATCAAATCACAAAAAATCCCATCAAATCATTTGGTGACCTATATTTAACAAATTAAACATATTTTTAATGACCTTTAGCTTACTTAGGTATCATTTACTACTATAATTATTATGAAAGGGGTCCTTGATTATGATTTCACTTTTTTAACTTTAGTTGGTGTGTAATGTTGCTGTTTGAGCATAAACAACACCTGCAAAGTTACGACGCTCAAAGTGCAATGCAAAGGGAGATATTTTCTTTTACAGAAATCGCTTTTTAAGGACTACAACAAACGCCATTTACATAAACCCACGCAACAAAGGGGGTGAGGCCATGTTGGGCTGATTTAGAGAAGAGAACGAGTTGTAGTCGGTGGAAAAAGTTTGTCCTAAGGCTGACATACTTGGAGAAATTTAAATGTATTTTTAACACTGTACCTGTATTACAACCTCAACGTTTGTCATTTTACGGAGAACAGCTTCCAGAAGAGAGTACAATGCAGGCTATTCGCACAAAGCTTCTCTTGAAAGACGTAGCCATTCCCATTTTGTCGGGACAATCTGTTGTTTATGGATCACAACTTGTAAGTATGTCTTATTATTTGTAGTTGTGTTTTCTATTAACAGTTCCAATTATAAGCTTTATGTAGTTGCTATGATAGCTATGATGTAAACGAAGGGCAAAGCGTTGCCCCCGCTAGCCTGCTAACTAACATTACAGTATTGATGTAGTGCTTACTTTAGCTTTTGTAAGCTCTTGCTTTCGTAAGACTGTTTACCGCCCCTTAGGAAAATGATCCATGATTTTGTGATCAATTACTGTTTGCATTACCATAGTTTCCGACAAATATGATTGCATGGTGGATAACATCGTATCTATAAGAAAAAAAAAAAATTGTTAGCTAGAAGTGAGTGGTATTTAACTTTTAGAAGAACAATAAATTACCTCAAATGCTAATAGACATGCACTAAAAGCCACAAAAGTGTTATTCTTTAGCAAATACATTTAGTTTAAGTGGAAGCTAGCCGGAAAACATCTTCAATAAAGCACTTGGTTACCTCTTGTGCCTCTTAACCAAGTTCTTTTTCACAGATTCACATATTGCGGTTGGACATTCACACAGACGTAAGAGCATGAAATGTAATAACACCAAAGTGCACAGTCTGTGATCACAGCAGGTATCGGAGTGGGGAGGCGTGGATCCACGCTTGGAGGTACAATTTATTCTTCTCCAACTTGAAAAGTGGCTTCAAAAGAGTGAAGAATTAACAGGGTGAGACGGAAGTGTGTGAAAAGTGTGGGACTGGATGTAGGATGACTCAGAGACATCAAACGTTTCTCTCCTATAGCTGGCTCTTCCAAAAAAAATACACAGCACAAAGGGCTTTATTCAAGCCACGAAACCACGGTAGGTTTCAGAGGTCGGTTTTGAGCAAAGGTTCAAAGAGCAAAACTTCAAAAAATATTTCAAGTGGACCCCACTGTAAAATCGTATGCTCTTCGCGGGATAAAAACAACCAATGATCACAGAGAATTTATGTGAGAATTGGCCCAAGTCAGATTCAATGCCATATTTAATTTGAAGTGGACTGAAGGAAAAAGATAAAGTTCTTTAAATGTTGTTGGGTACCTGTGTGTTTGATCATTCACCTGACAATACACTGTTTTGTTCACTGAAGTTTGTAGAAAGACATATTTTCTATTCCAAAATCAAGCAAGATTACTACATAGGCAGCATTTTAAGGCATCACAGTCAATACCAAAGCAAATAATGTGTTTGAGTAATTTTTTGGAAAGATTGTATTTATGAGTGAGGAAGTGAGAAATTCTAAATGATCTTTTTTGACTTGTCAAGTTAGAGGCATGTCAGTGAGAAAACATTCCAGACACAATGGATCCACAAGTCTTGAGAGTACATTTTTGTTGAAACATACGTTGCATTTTTCATTAACAATAGAAATTGCATGTTGCATGTACAAAATAAACAATTACAAACGAATATATTAGAATTCAGTTTAAAGCACTTTCATAATTGATAAATAAAAAAGCAAAAACATACCTGATATGCATTTTTTATTTATCATTTTTAAGTATTTTTTGTAGAAAAGGTACATCACCATCTTGCTCTACCCAAAGTAATTTGACTGACTTCACAAATATGACTTCACAACTTGAACAAGAAACTTCCCAGGAGGTTTGAGTGCACTAAAAGGCACTTTGCAAGGAATGATGTACAAAATGATGCTGCTTTTTAAGAATAAATACAAATAAAGATGCATTTAAAATGGCAGAAGAGATGATTATTATGAATTATATACTGAATAAACTGAAAAGTATCGATAGTTTCATAAATACCAAATATTTGTGCTATGTATTTATGGTTCATTAATTAAGCATATTTTTATGTTCATTGGTATCACACACTGAGAGCTTAGCAACCTGCTAACAACTAACAACTTTACTGAAATCAGTTGCTCTGTCCAATTTGTGTTGCTGTCTATGTTCCAGATCAGTCACTTTCGATTCCATGGTTGTTAGGATGTTAGATGACTAGATCTTGGAACAGAGATAATGAGTTGTCGACTGACCAACAACTATAACTTCCAAAGTAGGAAACACTAAACAGACTATATTATCTCTCAAATCCTCAAGCACTGAACTGGTATTGAAATATAAAGTGGCTAAAGCTTGCAGAAATAAAACTCCATCTAAGCTTTATGTGCACTGGCCCTAACTCCAGTGCCAGGACCCTCATTGCCTTCTGGCATGCTTAAATCTAGCACTTTCAGTTGGCACCATCCATATGCCCCCTCCTACCAACCATTGGAGGGGAACAGGGATTGTTTATTTACTATTTACAGAGGAAAAACCCCTCTACTTCCTGCTCATAAATAATTGACATGTTTGAGTTGGATGAGGTACAAAGTCACACTCCCTCTCTGTCTTCTTCCCTTCAGGCTGTGTGTTTATGTGCATGGCTGCTGGGCAGACTGTGTGTTTGTGTTGTGTGTAAGAGCAGACAACAGACTGAGCTCTCCTCATGGCAGTCTCTCTTCACCTCGTGGCTTTTTTGTCTGAGCTAAACTTCGGGTTATCAATGGAAACACACTCAGTTATCTTGTGCTGCATTCAGTTCAACTCGAAAAGGTGGAACTTCCAACTTCCTACATACATAGTAACATTGGAATATCCCACATCCGATGAGACCCAATGACAATGAATCATTTCTCCTCATGAGTTAAGGAATATCCTATTAAAATAGGCTTTATAGTATATGTATTCTTACCTGACGACATCAAGAGCAGTTGTAGAGGAAGAGGAGGTTTTGTGCGTCGTCTCCTGCGACTTAGTGACTTTTCCCAGCTGATACCAAATCCCCAAACTGTTTAGCTCTCTGTGGACAAACCCAGCTGGTTTCATTTTCAAGAACATTTAACTTGTTGCATTGTTACTTAATCTAGTTCAGGTTCACTTGCATTTGGTCCTTTTGTCCAGCTACAATTTGTAATGTTATGATTATGTTGTGTATCTAGGATATCTGATTAAACTTATATAAGATGTGTAGAACGGGCTTCAGTTTACTGGTGTTCATTCACTCTTCAGCTTCACCTCATGCAACTATTCCTTTAAGATGCTTCTTTTTCCAAAATAAGTGTTTTAATTTAAATATTTTCATTTTCGCCACACCCCGCCCCAAGTACCCAAGTACTCGTTTTTGAGATCTATCAGTACTGAAAATGAAAAATTAACAAAAATGACCATCTCTAATTCAAATATTAAAATGTGTAAGACATATCAGGGGTGGCTTTAAAAGCTGTTGGAAAAGCAGCACAAGTAAAGCAAGCGCCCATAATGCCCGAAGCAGGCCGCAGGCACTGAGGGGCACTAGAGGAAACACAAAAAAAACAAACAAAAAAACAGACAGACTAGAAGAACAATCCACTTCGGTTAAAAAAATGACGATTCAGACAGCATAATAAACATGGCTCCAGGATATTTACTTTGGTACTTTTTTTCCCTTAGAGGGAATAGTGACCAAAACATCTACATCAAACACACAAATAATTCTCAGAAAACATGTCATGTTTGTGATATGGACTAACTCGATTTATCCAAATATATGATAGCTTACCCTATAAATGTATAATTAGCAAGGCTGTGCTTTGATTTCCCCTGTATAACCACATCGCATATAGCCGTATCGGTGCTGTTCCTGGGGACCAACTTCACACACAGCCTCTCCTTCTTCAAAGCCTGCTCCTCTGAGAGAGAAAGAGATTTAAGAGTCATAACATAAACAGCCCTAATTATGTCTTTCATTTATCAGCAGTCTAACTACATTTACACCAGAGTTCAAATGTGACTTTTTATGCCACAGACACATAGACTCATAACTAAAACCTACATTACGCAAACATATCGACTGACCTATTTGTCCTTGGGAAGCCTTATAAACAATGACACAACAATCTAACTACATATTATATATATAAACTACCTATTTCCTAAAGGTTTATTCAGACAGACAAGCTAAATTTATATATGCATTAATATTTGAACACCTTATAAATGCAACGTATATGTGCCTTCAGCCCCAAAACATCATATAAGTATATGAAAGCCCATCATAATTGCATAAAAATGTCTTTGGGGGCTAGAGGGGAATCTTCAGTGTCAAGTGTGTAAGAAGGATATAAGGGGCTTGACTGAGAGTGAAATGGCAATATAGTGGCTGAGGCATCTATTAAACATGGTTTTACTACAATAAAGTGGCACATTAAAGCCAGCGCCCAATGAGACTCCATCTTCTTTTTAGTCATTCCTCCAGAACCTGCTACCAGACTCGGCCATATTACTCCTGAGCCCATCCCATTCGTTTTGAGGAGGCGCCGGGGCGAGGGCCGTGTAAATGCAATAATAATGAAAATAATAAACATGCTGCCCTCACTCCCAATGCCAAAATAATATTGCGGCGTTCTCAAAGGCGCGGTGAGAGGAGAAGAGAGAAGACGAGAAGGGGAGAAATACATAGCACTCAAAAAGCACTAAAGCATCAAGGGAATGCATTTCATTAATATTAGATAACCACCATCCACTCCCGCTCTGCACAAATAAATACATAAATAAATAAGCACATCATAAAGAAAAGCTGGGTTCTGGCAGAGATAAACAATGACTCATCGTTCTCCTCTCCTCCTACCTTCGGGGCAAAATGTTTATTTTACTCTCTCGCACTATCATAAATTAAGCTAAACCTGAGCCCATGAAACATTCACATTCACAACCTCTGGAGAAGCGCTCCCTCAGGATGACTACAGAGAAGAGAGAGAGAGAGAGAGAGAGAGAGAGAGAGAGAGAGAGAGAGAGAGAGAGAGAGAGAGAGAGAGAGAGAGAGAGAGAGAGAGAGAGAGAGAGAGAGAGAGAGAGAGAGAGAGAGAGAGAGAGAGAGAAAGAGGAGGAAAGCAAAAAAAAAAAAGTTTATTTTTGAAGGAAACTGCTTACGGGTATCCGTGGTGTCCTGGATCGGAGTGAAGCCCTCTGGCAAACAGTCCTTCAAGTCAATCAACTTCATGTCCACGACCACGTTGCATAATTGCTTCTGCCACAAAATGCAATGATATAATAATGATTATATGAGTTTAAACCATTATAACAATGAGCCTGTTCAATAAAAGCACTTCACAGGGTTAAAATTACGCCTGGAAGTGGGCAGCATTCAATTATGCATGATTCGTACCTACAATGAAAGGCCGCTGTAGTATTTTGCAGACGCGCACACACAATTTTGTTGAATCGCTGCCCTCTTTTAAGCATGCGAGCACCTGTGTGCTAGCCATCATCTTCAGACATGGCAGCCCAGCGCTAGGGCCAGTCGGTGGCAGGCCAAATTGCTTGTGCTTCAGAACAGGGAGTACTTGAAAACAATCAGGAGCTGTTTAGCTGACATTTTCAAGCATGACTTTTCCCCTCAGCCTTGCCAGACTGGACTCATTATGGTTCCATTTTTCGCAGTAATAAATAGCAATAATCCAGCAAAAGCCCTGAAAGAGTGCAGCTAGCGTAGCATGACGTGATGAGTCCGACAATCAGGATGCCGTCGCTATTGTTACCCGGCAGTTATTACCACTACAGACCATTTTTATTCATAGTTCTGACTTGAGGGTACGAATATGGATGAATGCTATTACTATGCATGAGGCATGTTTTTTTTTTAACACTTTTTTTTTTAAATAAAAGACACGGGAGAGATTTTTTCCCATCAGGACCTGACAAAGGGCCATCTACCTCCAACCCTGAGTATGATAAATCACAAACTGTTTACTTCCCACCACATAATTCACTGGCTAATTCTGTAGAATCTGTTTTTGTCATAGACAATTACAGTGGGGGCCACTTTGACTGACAGACAAAATAGCCTTTGTTGATGGCGCTGCCATGTTTTATTAGCGTCAGGGACTTCAAAACAGTGCAGACACACATTTTAAGACTCCATGCTGGAGAGATGGCAGAGGGGACTGATGTGCTACATACTAAAACTGCAGCTCTCATTTAACTTGATCAACAGGCAGGAATTGTGTAAACCAGTCACAGTGGATTGCAACGTCCTCTCTGAATCTCATAATAGGGATCTTAGAAGATGTACAGTAGTTTTCCTGCAATAACAATATAGCACCATAAAAAGTAGGGCGGGACTTGATTTCTCAAAACGAATGTGAGTTTGCTAAAACAATTGCCCTGTTTTCAACCCAGTATTAAGACGAGTTTACGGCTTCACTGTGTTCGTGACACATTCTTCAAATGTCAAATGTTAATATCAGCTGGGAATCACTACCAGGTTGTTGGTAAACACCAGTGTTGGGGGTAACGCATTACAAGTAACGCAAGTTATGTAATCAGATTACTTTTAAGTCCCATTACTTTTAATAATATTTTGCAAGAAAATATTTTAGTTACTTTTTCAAATATAAGTAACGCAAGTTGCTTTGTTTTCCCCTTTATTGACTAACATCTCTGCTGTCCCCATGTTGAGAGAAATCGGGAGAAAGTGTAGAGGCGTTGTGTGCACTTTGTAAACATGATGGTCATTGTAGTTCTAATCTAGACTAAATGTGAGCATGCATTTACTCATCTCACCTTCACAAAAAAATATTTAGTATTCCTCAAAATGAATAAAACAGTGAAATTCAAACTTAGAATATTACACAAACCTGCAATAATTAAAACTATTAAATAACACAAAAATACTTTATGTATTTAAAGCTGCAGTCCATAACTTTTGGCGCTCTAGCAGTTAATAAACAGAACTGCATGAGTCTTCTGGAAGAACATTGTAGCCGGAGCTACTTCTCTCTGTTTATGTCTATGGCGAGTCTTGCGGGTACTGGGCTACTCCGCAGTGGTATGACCCGACCTGTCTAAATTAACCTGAAAATAAACACTTATTATAGGCAATGTTCCCTCTATTTTTTTTTCTTGCTGAGCAAAACTTTTTCTATTGGGCGGACATTTTTCGCCACCTGAGCAAAAATATTCTTTATACCTGACCTGTACAGCATGTAGAAACACAATGGTTTCAACATTCAGTTGTAACTTTTAACTTGAATGTGCCATTTCTATTTAATTTGACCCTTGATGTAACTTATTGGTATTAAATCATATTTTCGAAAAACAAGCTTCTTAACAAATTAAGAAGTCACTAAATGAAGCACATTTTAGGTTACCTGATATTTTTTTACAGTGCTGTTAACTGTACAGTCTTTACCAAGAAATCCTATGAAAAATAATTTACAAAATCTTCTGCAGGACAGTTCAATTCTTTACAATAATAGAATATAGTATAAAAGAAAAGTAAGCTGTTACACCGAGATGGTTTGGGAAAACCATAAAGTGTTTTTGACAGTCAATTAATTGTGTACAGGAAGCATTAAACCATCAAAGTTAAATGATTGTTTATTGCTTATGAATTTCCAATATTTTCTTTAGCAGGGGGTTTCAAACTTTTTAATGGCAAGGAGCCCTAAACAATACCCTTGTGAGATTCTTTATTTAGGCTTATAATATAATAAAATATAGGCATAATATAATATAAAAAAAACGAATTGAAGTATTTGAAGTGATATAATATATCAGTTTAAATGCTTAAATTTGTTAACATTTTATATTATTATGAAAACAAAGCATTTAAATAGATCTAATAGCTAAATATTTTCAAGAAAAATGAATATAATCTAATCTTTTATAATCTAACCATCCCTGAAACTCCCCCACAGACAAAAACATCTATTTAAACTATGTATTTTTAATTTGCACGCGGGTGGGTGTGTAATTGTTACCGTTCTGTGTCCATAACCGTTATTTCCACCACTTTAATCAAACCACTCTTCTTTAAAACATTATGATTTGATTTTATTTCACGTCTATGCGTTTCTCGTTGCCTCTCGTATTGAGCTATTTGGTCCGCACACACGACTCACTGCCAATCACACGTGCTCACATCATTCTCTTTCTATGAAACCTGTAAACTGCATTCACCAGTTTTCTCTCTATAGCGGTTGACCAGAGCACTGCAATTATTTCTCACTTAAACTACAATCAAATGGATTTCCCCACACGTTACGCGTCAGTCCTCTGTGTGTCATTTTATTCTTTTCTGCGCGGCCGCCGCTTAGAAGTGCGCGGCCGAGGCATCAGAAGTGCGCGGCCGCGCACGCGCACAGCTTAGAGGGAACATTGATTATAGGTGTACCGTAGTGATTCAGGATAAGACAAAAAAAAAAAAACGGTTTGGAAAATGGATTCATGATGTACTTGCTTATTATATAAATTTTGTAAATTTTGAACACAAAAAAGTTACAGACTGCAGCTTTAATCTAACTTTATAAGCCAATGTATTTGCTGCTGACCTTTGATGATTCCAATTTAACCATACGAATAAGCAAAAATGACTAACTTCACACTTTTTGTTTCTTTTTTTTTATTGCTGAAGTAAAAGTGTAGAACTTGTATAAACATATATATATATATATATATATATATATATATATATAAATTTGCTATTGATGTGGGATACGTGTAAGGTCAGGGACAGGTTTGGTGGAATGGGTAGGTTTAAGGGTGGGTTAAGGTGTAATTGGGACTACACATTTTATAGATGTTTGCATTCATTCATTTTTTTTTCCTTGTGGCCCCTGGGCATCTGTCTGAAAATCCTTGTAATAGAGGAAAAAAACGAGATTTTGATAGTTATATTATATACTGTATATGTATATATATCAAAATAAATATGTTTATATATATATGGGCTTAAAATAAAACATTTAAAAAATATACATACATTAATCAGTGAAAGGCATTTTGTGGCAACAAAAAGGAAAAAGCAGATGCACTGGTGAGATGCAACACTGAATAACAATGACCCACCAAAACAATCTTATTAGCCACAGCCTATTTTTGTCATCCTCACAAACACTACAAGCAAACCTATCAGCTGGTTAAACCCAATTATGAACACAAGGTGAGTTTCTTTCAATAAATACATAATTTTGAGGGATTTCAATCCAAGACAGAGATAAAGTATAGAATGTTTTCTAAAAAGACATGCTATATGTTGCCTTCGCTTACACAGCAAATTGAGGAACAATAAAGGTAGGGCAACTCAACTTTCCATTGTTCAGCTTAAATGAAGACCGATAACCTAAACAGCATGACTGGGCCACCTGTTTCACTTTCGAGACAGATACCTGCACATAAAAAGATGCTCATTCTCAATTTAGCTCAGCTGAATGGGAGGGAAATGTTCAAATAGTTCCAATTCACAGAGGAATATTTTAAAATAGGTGCTCTTTAGCAAGCATATTGGATGGCTGTTTGATGTGTCATATTTCATAAGCAAGAATCCCCATAACCAAAAGTTTGACATTTTTTGGATGCTTTTTCCATTTTTGATGAATGGCTGGGAGGTATTCAAACTGTCTATAGGGACCAGGTTAATTGAGCTAAATGAAATCGTAAACTACTAACGTGGAGAGTTGCGTTTATGAATAATCATAAACCAAATTCCTTCGGGAGACATGGAGATCATCAACAAATTTTCAAATGCAACCATGTTGGGACTTCAAACCATTCTAAATGCAGAGAAGTATTTGCATTCGGTTTAGATACTTCACTTTAAAGGACAGAACTTATTTTGAAGGAATTTGTGATCAAAGATCTGCGCAGAACCCTAATGAGGGATGGACTGAAGCGAACGGAGCAAACGCACTTTATGACGGCGTGTGAAGAAAAACTTGCAATGATGCTAAAACTTGCACGTTTTCACTTACATTTTTGGATGTGGCAGCTCGGGTGAAGCAGAGATAGCGTGTGACCTTGGATTTGAATATGCTGTCCTTCCACAGGTTGGCGTCGAAGCCATCTGTTGTTTGTGCAACCTACGTGAAAAGAAAAAAAAAAACAGAGAGGAGAATGCATTGAGGTGAGATCGAATTAATGTATGGACGATGTGCATGTTTCTTTTTTTTTTTGCCTTGCTATGCGCCTACTTGCCTACTTGGCTCGCTTGAGCTCTCACTCCATCTCATTAGAGCCCTACGCAAGTGCAGAAGAATCCTCAGCCTCCTAAAAAGGGTAAAAATACCATCGACCCCCCATGGGACAACAAGGATGAGACAAGACCTCACAAAGAAGGCCTTTGAACAAGCTAAATGAGACTTCATTGTGCTCTGCAGAGATCAAGCCTTTCTGAAATACAGTAAAATAATGGCAGTCACGATTTAGGAATTTGCCAAAGGATGTTGAAGTAGAACTGCAATGACAGGAAGTGGAATTTACTAAATTGCAATTCAATGAAATTCAACAATCACAAATTAATGTGTCCAACAAAATGACAAATTTCTGACAAAATTGTCAAAGTCAAATACTGTCAAATCAACATAGCCATCAAAACCACAAAATGTCCACTATATATGTATATGCATTTTTCAAATCATTAAAATTATAAATATAAAAAAATAATCAATATAATGGAATGCATAATTTATATTGAAACTTATAATGGGTATATAAATTAAATCATATAGATGGCATTTCAAGCATTTATTAAAATCACCTAATATTTCTATTAATACCTCATATGTCATGTGTATGATAACATGTTTATGGGTTATTAATACTGAAAAATCAAATGTATTATTTAAAAAAATACACTTACAACAACTATACGAGTTATGTTAAATTAGAATTTAAGAAAGTACATTTCTGCATCCAGTTTGCTACCTTAATTCAACTTTAAAGTGAACTAAAGTGATCTTATGTGAAGTCTTGACAGGCATACATTACGCTCTCAGAAAAGCTAACAGGAAAACAGATAGACTGGTGGACAGAGACAGCAAGAGTATGGTGGGGCTACAGCATCCACAGACGTTGGCTAGGACCAAAGCTCTCAGGAGGAGTCTATACATCAACCACAACATCCTCCTCTCCTTCCCGTCTCCCTCCCCCCTTTACAAGACAACCCGTCCTGGACACTTTTTCCAGGTCAGTGCCCCGCTCCTCCTGACAGCGTAAACAAAGAGCTGGAGCTGTGAAGCCCAAAGTCAAACAGGGAGGAACCAGGCACCAAAGGAGTCAGTATGCCACCGTGCAGCCGGGGCAGGCAACGCAGCCTGAATGTGGAAACAGTTGCTAAGCATTGGGACTAGTAGAGGGAGGGGAGACATCTCTACTTCCCAGAAAAAGAAAAATTAAACACAATCGAAAGACGCTTAAATATAAGTATTCTATGTCTTGTGGATTGCTGTCTGCTAATAGTTGCGTCTGTTTAGAGGTTGTTGATAACGTTCAGAAGCCTAGCTAAAACTAACTAAAAGTTTTGTTCATATTTAGTTGTCTAGCCTTAGTTAATAAATAAACAGATTTGTTTGAAAAAACAAAGTGAAAAATGTGTTTAGTTTAAAAGTCAAAATTCAGAACACTTGCTAAAACTAGCTCTTAAAGGGCACCTATTATTTAAAATTCACTTTTACATGGTGTTTGAACATAAATGTGCGTTGGCAGTGTGTGTACACGGCCACCATATAATGATAAAAATCCACCCAGTGCTTTTTTTAAAATCCCCATAAATCATAACCAGTGTCTCAGAACAAGTCGTTTTCAGATTCTGGGCAATGTGACGTACATTTGCACAAGCCCCGCCCACGACTGTTGACTGACAATGTCGTATTAGCATAGACCCGCCCCTAAGTGAGCTTGTTCACAGTCCGCCATTGTTTCGACGCTGGAGCATGAGCAGCTGTAGACAAGAATGTCTCCTAAGCGATTTCGGTGTTTTGTTGTTGGATGTAAGAATGAACATAGCAGTCTTCATTTACTCCCAACATCTGAGCTGCTGAAGACGCAGTGATTTACTTATGTTTTTCAAGGGAATGCGACCCTCAATCTACCTAAATGCGTTTATGTTCGCGCGAATCATTTTACACCAGACTGCTTTGTGAACGAGGGTCAGTACAAAGCTATGGAGGACCAACTCTACCATATTTAAAAATAAATACAGAAATAAATAAATGCTCAATAAATAAATAAGCATACAATTAATTGCCCCAAAAAATACAATAAACAAATAAATGTAGGTAGAAATTAAATTATACAGTGAGACATAAATGTATATACCTCTTTTAATTAGCTTCTTTATTTATTTACCTTTGTAATAATTACCTTATTTATTTATTGTCCGTTATAATCTTCAACTTTATTTATTAATTACTTATTTTTTGAAGTATTTATTTATGTGCATGTTATAATATTTGTGTCTGTTTTATTCTTCCTTTGTATTTTTTTACCCAATTTATTTCTTCAATGCTATTTATTTCTGCCTGTCGTTTTTACATTTCTGTATGCATTTCTGCCTCATTATGCAAATGAGGAGGGGCTGTGTCTTAAGGGGTCAACTTCTGCCCATTGGTTGGTTAGCATTTTACTGCATCGGTCGAATCTACATGCCACCGGCCGCGATTTTTTTTTTTTTGCAGGGTGGTAGCATAGACTGTAAAAGGGTGGTAGCATAGACTGTAAAGGGTGGTAGGGGAAGACTCGTTAATATTCATTAGGGAACTCATCCCTGATTGTCAATTTAAAAGATACATTTTAAAGTCAAGAAAGTCGCAGTTTGATGTAAAACTGTTGAGGTATAAGACTGTGAAAATACGTAATTAAAAAGACTACAAACCCAAAAGGCACACATTTTCTCTCAATGAATGAAGCTAACTTTACTGAAGCTAACGTCTGTCATTTGTTCTATGGTCTTACGTTATAATCGTAATGTTACGCCGTCATGCCTGAGTGTTTTGTACCAGACTGCACACACACGAGCAGCGGATCTCGCTCGTTGTTTCGCTTCCCGGGAGATGTAGTTCATTGAGCGATTTTCACGTCACTCTTCTGTTTTATGACAAACTGCGACTGTCTTGACTTTCATAATTATCTTTTAAATTGACAAACATCATATGTGTAATTCAGGGCACAGTTCAGACGGAATAAAAAGATAAGTTGTCTCTCACCATTGACTACCATACATATTTTTTCCGAAATAAGGTCCCATGAGCCGGAAGCGGAGGGGAGGGGCTTAGGCTCTCTATGGGCAGAAGTTGACCCCTTAAGACACAGCCCCTCCTCATTTGCATAATGAGGCAGAAATGCATACATAAATGTAGAAACGACAGGCAGAAATAAATAGCATTGAAGAAATAAATAGGGTAAAAAAATACAAAGGAAGAATAAAACAGACACAAATATTATAACATGCACATAAATAAATACTTCAAAAAATAAGTAATTAATAAATAAAGTTGAAGATTATAATGGACAATAAATAAATAAGGTAATTATTACAAAGGTGAATAAATAAAGAAGCTAATTAAAAGAGATATATACATTTATGTCTCACTGTATAATTTAATTTCTACCTACATTTATTTGTTTATTGTATTTTTTGGGGCAATTAATTGTATGCTTATTTATTTATTGAGCATTTATTTATTTCTGTATTTATTTTTAAATATGGTAGAGTTGGTCCTCCATACAAAGCAGGCTTTGATAAAAATGTTGATGATAATGCAAGGGAGAGAGAGAGAGTTTTTGAATAAGACTTTAATGCGCACTTCTTATACTGTTTATTCAGCTCTTACGGTGATTTTCTGGACTAAAACAAATGTTCAATAAAGTTTTGGCCATCATTCGGACGTGGTCTGCTACAACAGGCTTGTACTATTAGTGGATAAAAGCAAGATGAAAAATGAGTTATAACCGTAATTAAACTAAACTATACCTGTTCTATCTCCATGCAGCATATATTCTCTGGCTCTATAGGCATCAATGTCCGACTCTGGTTCGAACTGAACACTGCGAACGTTACTGATAGTTTTGTTTTGATATTTTCATTCCGTGAGATGAGATTGTCCTGACTGAAGCGTGAGCTCTTGAATCTCCGCCCTCTGTCCCGGGAGCGATATTTTTTTTCACAGGATGGTAGGGGAAGACTCATGAATATTCATTAGGGAACTCATCCCTGATTGGTCTTAACCCCAGTGACTGGTAGGTTTAGGGGCGGGGTTAGGGGTAGGTCATCAGACCCCCAGTGACGGGTAGGTTTAGGGGGGGGGTTAGGGGGTAGGTCATCAGACCAATCAGGGATGAGTTCCCTAATGAATATTCATGAGTCTTCCCCTACCATCCTGTGAAAAAAAATATCGCGTCCCGGGAGCAGCAGCTCATTTGCATTTAGGGACACACAAAAACAGCACGTTTTTCCTCACCCCCTAAAAGTGGCAAATTTAACATGCTGTAAAAAATCATCTGTGGGGTATTTTCAGTTAAAACTTCACATACACATTCTGGGGACATCAGAGACTTATTTTACATCTTGTAAAAAGGATGTACAATTTAATAAATAAACATGCTTGTTTACACAAACAAAGTGAAACAGTTATGGTAAATGGACTGCATTTATACAGCGCTTTCACAGACCCAATGGCCACCAAAGCGCTTTACAATTTGCCTCACATTCACCCATTCATACACTCATTCATACACCGACGGCGGTTACTTTTCAATAGTTGCAGTCTGCTGGATACTCAAGTACTGTTAGAAGGGTAAAAAGTTCAAACACTTGCTAAAACTAGCTACTGAAAAATCAGCTTTTGTTTATATTTGGTAGTAAAAAAAGGTTAAGTTTGTTTTTGCAAACAAAGCAAGACAAATAAGTGCTGTTTGAAGCTGTTGATAATCAGAGTACAACTTATTCAAAGTTCAGAACACTTGCTAAAACAAGCAGCTAAAAACAAACAGACCGTTTAAGTTTCTTTTATCTTTGGTTGCATAACATTTCTTTAATAAATAAACATGTTCGTTGTGCAAACAAAGTGAGATGCATTAAGCTGATCGTTTCAAATGATCTGTTTTTTTGAAGTTTGTTAATAAAATACGATAAATAAATGACGGCTGATATTTAGAGTTTAAGAAAACTAGCTACTAAACATCAAATCTTTCAATTTGCATATATATTTTGTTGTGTAAAGGTTGTTAATAAATAAATGTGTTTGTTTGTGCGAACAAAGTGAAACAGTTGCATCCTGCTGCGTGTGATGGAGGGAAAGGCCAAGCGGAACAGGGCCTCTGAGAACACGTTGATGCCATGTGGCGTACACCGGATCCTCAGCGCCAGTGGGCAGAACCCCAGCACCATGCCAACCCACAGACAAGCCGCCAGAGATGGCAACAGTTGGGGACTGGTGGGTGGGGCGGGAAGTGAGAGAGAGAGAGAAGAAAGAAAACGGAGGGAGAAGAGGAAAGCAGAGAGGAAGAACTCTAGCTGCCCGTAAGCTTAACGCAGAGTTGTTTTATACAGTGTTTGCTTTGTGCTTTGTTTTATTCACAAAACTTCCCCTCTCTCTTTCCGCCCCTGGATCTTTTCTCAGTCTTTTTGAGACACACCCACATACACAACAGATACACACACACACACAAAACATTTTCCTAGAGGCCATTGATACCGTTGTCCCAGTTTCCCCTCTCAGCGCTCTGGGATTGCTGAGAGTTGCAGAAGCGCTGGAGAACCAGCCACCCTTGTGTCAGTGCCATCTGAGTCCTAAACAAACACAGGGCACTGGTGCCAAGCTCTGTTGGAGGCCTCATCTGAAAGAGTTGTTAAAATCTATCCTCAGGATATAGGCCGAAGGATTCACGGCTCAGTGCCAGCCAGAGGAAGAGCCGAAATAATACCAAACCAAACCATGTCAATAAATAATGTCTGTGCCTTCAGGGAAGCAAAGTAAATAAAACAGTTAGTAAAACTGTAATTTGATACTGTATAATAAGGCTCTAGCAAGTTTAAGACTGAATCCAAATGCAGATTTATGAAGAACCATCCAGAACAACATGAAAAGATATTAACCACAAAAAAGAACTTACCCATTAATACCTGACAAAACAGAAGAATGCCTGATATAGAATAAGAGAAACCTGAGGGCTTGAATAAACCGAAGCTAAATGGCAAACAAACTAGATGGTGTGACAAACAAAATGATAACCAGTCACAGAAAACAACTAAACAGATAAACTAGAGTTAACCAAACAAATTAATCTATGACAATACTTGGCTGCATTTAAGTCCACGTTTAGGCATTTACTCGCAAACTCCCCTAAGCTCTTCCCCTCAGGGGAATCCCCACCACCATTTTGAAGTGCGTTCAACTTCGTCAATGGGCAAGTGAAGTTTATTTGGACAGACCCTTGACCCCTCAATTTTCAGATTGCGCTTAATTAGTCCCACCCCATACTAATTTCGTGTATGATATTAGCTGTTTTGTCATTTAACTGCATAATACTTGTAGCTACCTTAACCCTTTCCCTGCCATTGAAGGAACTTTCCGTCATTTATGAGACAACGCTTCGCCTCTGTTGACGAAATTTTCCGGCTCTCCACTGTTATACGGTAGGAGGCACTATTATTGCATCTTCTGAAGGAGTTCAGAATTTCCAGATTAAAACACAGGCGAGGAAGAAGCAGAAACAAGCGATAGCATTTGTAAGCAGATGCAAATAACGTGATCATCAACATTAAACAGCATATAAATCAAAACTGCCTAATGTTACCGAATTAAATGTTGACCCAGGACAAGCTATAGGACTGTATTGGGGTGTTGATGGACTCGATCTACGGCATCTATGTTTTGAATATCGTTCGGAATCCCATCCAGACATAGTCTTTGAAAAAACTTTTTTCAGCTTTTTGCTGAAAATGTAGCTTTTTTTTTTATTTTTTATGAAACTTACCCATATTCAGGTGTTAATAAAAAAAGAATGCAAAATTTAAAAGTTAAAAACAGTAAAATGTTATGTTTCTACTTATTGTCTTTATAATTTACTTATATTTTTTTTTTTTTTTTTTTTTTTTTTTATAACGTAAAAAAAAGTAAAAATGCTACAGTAAAAAAACTTTATTGGACAATAAGTTTTACTGCAAAATACTATAAAATGTAATGGAAGTACAAAAAATATGGATTATCGTTCAATTTACTGTGAAGATTTATATTAATTTTTAACAAGACAATTAAATATACTTTAACAGTACAGTATTGATAAAATAAGTAAAATATGGTGATACTTAAAATAGACAGTAAAAATAGACAGTAAAGGGACATTCCCAGATGTTCCTGCATGACAGATTACATTTGATTATATTTTATTTAAATAATTACATTTCTTATTATTTTCAGTTATGTTATTGGATTTTAATAGATGCTTTCTGCCACTGAATAAAAAATAAAAAAGGTAATTGCAACTTTATACTGACTTTATAATTAGCAGCTGCGAGTTTATATCTCACAATTCTGACTTTGGAACTAGCAATTGCAAGTTTATATCTCGCAATTCTGAGAAAAAAGTTAGAGTTGTGAGATCTAAACTCTCAATTGTAAGAAAAAAGTCAGAATTGTTAGATAAATTAACTTTTAACAATTAATTAGCAATTAACTTTTGTATTTTTTTCTTTATTTAAAAAAATGCATTTGTTTTTTTTTATTCAAGCTTCCATAGATGTTTAGGTTACATTGATTATTCTTTATATTTTTTGTGTTATTTTAACTAAATTTAAATTTAATTAATGGCTGCTTATTATATTCTTGTTTATAGATTGTAAGGTCCAAATCACATACTGTATATTTTTAGCAACTGCAAACTCACAATATAGTAGTCTGCTGGGGGTTCTTTCTTGGATGCCAGCACACCAATATCAGAGATGGCTTCAGGCTGTAGCTCTGTTTTAGCACCAGAGATTTCCGGAAGATCTGCCATGCTTGCTGCGAGAGAGAAATAAAAGTTAAAAAAAAACACATACACTTACAATAGTTTATTTTTTATAGCAAAACTAAACGTCGCACACATCCCACTAACACAAATATATAAATAAAGACTAAAATACAAAAAGACAGCAAAATACTTCAGAGCCATTATTAACATGAGAGCATCTATAAAGACCTAAAGTGTAACTTTTTTCAACCTGCTTTGTAAAGTTACGTTTCTTTCCATCCACACGTTTTTATCCGAATTAAGTGATATCGAATGAAAAATGCCTTATGGAAACAATAAAATTCGATTGAATTTCATGAATATCGACTCAAATGAATTACGTACGGTCTCATCGGATTTTATCTTGATCGATATATACGGCTTATGCGATAAACGCTGATGGAAACATTATTTGCCGAATAAATAATGAATTGCGATTAAGTATTAGGTAATTTTATGGTTGCAACACGCCACAAAACATAGAAGAAGAAGATTTAGTTAATTTCCGCCCAGTATTTCCGCTCTGTTTGCGCACACATGGCGGGTGTCAACAAAGACAGATGTAAGTGGACAAAGCAAAAAAAATGCTTTAACCAAAGGGTTTTCGTGAGGTGTCTCTGAACCACGATCTCCCAGAACTGTTTGGAGCGCTGTCGTTCCCACACCACAGGCCGCCACCGTTGTCGTCGGGCATTTACATGCATCTGCATCATCATACCAATGTGTTGATAGCATTGTTGTTTTCTTATTATAGCTTGTTATTACATGGCTTGGTTGAATTCTAATGTAGAATGCAGTCTGTTATTTCTTAATAAGAGACGCTGCTAAGTATAACACACCGTTGCCATGAAAAACAGAGCGTTGCCATGGACGCAGTTCAGAGACGGAACGGACTATTTTCTTTAGCGGAAGCCCTATGAGCGGAAGCAGTACAATCGTTTTTAATATTTTGTGTCAAATTATTGATTTATTTGGTAGGTACATTATCCCGCCATGTAATAAGCGAGATAATGTATAGAGCCTCGCTATACATTATCCCGACCCTTACATATGTCGCCATCAGCTGGCACATAAGCACTATTAGGCTACAACTTGTGCAATATTGATCATTTGTTGGTAGATGGCGCGATCCATTTTGTCTAGCAAAACTTTGTTCGCAAACTTTGCTTTATTCGCATGAGTTTTTTTTACCGAACTTTAGATAATTCGATTGACAAGTGGATGGAAACTTGGCTAATGTCGGTAGTATATGTAGCCTAAATGAACAATGTTTGCTTGTTCTCTGTGTTACATGGACCAAACTATTTACGTTTATTTGCAAAAAGTCCGCTGGATGATCATCTGCCAGGCTTTTCACAGCTTCGGGCTTTCATGAAAACTACAGATTATGCTTCCATATTTTTGTATCCCCACCGATGGACAGTAGGATCGGCAGAGGGTTATTAACAGAGCATTGTAAGGGTATGCTTATAAAAAAAAAAAAAAGATTATTGTACTATCTCTACTCTTTAAACAGAATTCTGTTAATTTGGAACACTATGGCAATAGATTTCATACCAGTACGCAACGCCGTTTTGCTTCAGGGGGTTGGGCGTAACTGACAGAATGGCAGTTTCTCCATTTCACCGGAAACACTGTGTTCCTGGTCATCCAGTTTAAAATGTTGACTACAAAAGATTTTCCATCGCGGCGTTCTCTCCGTATTTACAATTCTTTGCAGGCTTTAGCCACTGCTTATGGCGCGTTGGATACTTCACTCGAAACAGAAAATAACTACTCGGTTACTATCGTAACCTCAGTTCCCTGAGATAGGGAACGAGTATTGCGTAGCTATACGCAGTGGGGAAACTCCTTTTCCTCGATTTACTGTAGCCTATTTGTAAAACGCATTTGCAGCTGCACAGCTAGCACACTGAGCGTCTGACCCGCTCATAGGCTGTGCTGCAGCAACTGCACATCCAATGGCGCGGGCGAATCTGACGCACGACCAATAAGCTAGCCCAACGTCAGAGCCCGTCGAGGGGGCGTGGCCCCGCCTATATAGACCCCAGAATTCGCCATTATAGCAGGTTTATACGACTGAAGCGACAACTTCACCAGTTACCATAGTGCTGAGGTTACGATAGTAACCGAGTAGTGCCCTTTCGAACGGTCACTTCGTATTGCGTAGCTATACGCAGTGGGGACACCATGCAAAACGCCGCACCCTGAGTAACTGGTTGTCCTGCCACTCAGGACCCCTGAGCTAACAGAACAAGCCAGAACCCAATAACATATGCATATACATGTTTATATAACAGACCAGACACAGTCGAGTCTGAATAATATATAAATATAAAGTCAGTAACCACTAACAGAATATACTAACAAAACCAGACACCGTCGGGATTATTAGTATAACTTATTACCGGCCGAAGCGGGTTTATATAAATATGTATGTGATTATGCACAGTAATTTTTGTAGACAAGACCAGCCACTGTCAGGTCTCAATCATACCGAAAGCACCTTCGCCTGCAGGGAAGGTACCTCCATATTATAGAACTTCATAAATGTGGAAGGCGAGGACCAACCGGCCGCATCACAAATATCTTGAATGGGAAAACCAGAAGACCAAGCCCACGACGAGGCCATACCTCTGGTCGAATGGGCCTTGACACCTATGGGGCAAACCTGACCCACTGCGGTGTAGGCCAAAGAGATGGCATCCACTATCCATCTAGACAGTCTTTGCTTAGTGACTGGATCCCCCTTAGATCGGCCCCCTATGCAGACAAACAGCTGTTCTGATTGTCTAAAAGACGCAGAACGCTCCAAATAGATTCTCAACGCCCTGACAGGGCAGAGAAGATTAACCTCCCCATCCTCAGCAGAAGGGGGAAGGGCTAATAGCGTAATAACTTGTGCTCTAAACGGCGTTGAGAGCACCTTGGGCACATAACCATGCCTGGGTTTGAGAATGACTCTGGAGTCATCCAATCCAAACTCCAAACATGCAGGACTCACTGAGAGGCCCTGCAGATCTCCCACTCGCTTGATAGATGCCAATGCCAACAGGAGAGCAGTCTTTAGCGAAAGTGGTTTTAGATCAACCGACTGGAGCGGCTCAAAAGGTGGTCCCCTCAGGGCCCTAAGGACCGTGGAGAGGTCCCAAGGCGGCACCGAAGGGGGCCTGGAGGGGTTAATCCTCCTAGCACCCTTCAGAAACTTTACCACCAGGTCATTCCTTCCTAGTGATTGGCCAGCCACCAGAGCATGATGCGCTGCGATGGCTGCCACATACACTTTGAGCGTGGACGGGGTGCGGCCCGCGTCCAGTAGCTCCTGCAGGAAGGCGAGCACCACCGAAACCTCACATGACTCTGGGTCAATACGATTTCTCGAGCACCAGCTGGAAAAACCCGACCACTTTAAAGCATAAAGGCGCCGAGTAGACGGGGCCCTTGCTTCAGAGATAGTGCTTAAGACCCTGTCAGGCAGGTCCCCGGATACCCGTTTAGTGGCCACACATGGAGGGCCCATAAATCGGGTCGGGGATACCACATCGTTCCGTTGGCCTGTGTGAGGAGATCCTTCCTCATCGGAACAGGCCAGGGGGTCGTGTCTGACAACTGAACCAGTTCCGGAAACCATGGTCTGGATTTCCAGAGAGGAGCCACCAGAAGTACTGGGCATCCGCTCTCGCTGACCCGCTCGATAACCTGTGGGATCATCGAGACGGGGGAAAACGCGTAAAGGGGGCGGCTGGGCCAGAGATGAGCCAGCGCATCCCTGTTTTTCGAGAAGAACACCCTGCAGTGGGTGTTGGCTCTCGAGGCGAAAAGGTCGACTTCGGCCTCGCCGAACCTCTCCCATATTAGTCTGACCGTCTGAGGGTTCAGGGACCACTCGCCTAGGGGAGTGTTGCCCCTTGAGAGCATATCCGCGCCCACATTCTGGACGCCCGGGACATGCGCTGCTCTCAGAGAGCTCAGATTGGCTTGTGCCCACATGAGGAGGTCCCTCGCCATCGCATACAGGTTGCCTGACCTGATGCCACCCTGGCGATTTATGTAGGCCACCACAGACATGTTGTCTGTACGGATCAAGACGTGGTGACCCCTGAGGTTTGACAGAAAAGCTTTCAGGGCCAACCAACTGCTTTCATTTCCAGACAGTTGATATGTAAGCTCTGCTCTGTGCTCGACCAGAGGCCGGAGGCAGGCTTGCCCTCGTGCAGCGCTCCCCAACCCATGTTGGATGCGTCTGTAAAAAACACTTTCCTCCTGGAAACTATCCCCATGGTCACCCCCTTGCGGTACCAGTCCTGAGCCCGCCAGGGAATCAGTGTTCTCGAACACCCTTGATTCACCATAATGCGCAGGCTGACTGACTGCCATGCATGGGTTGGCACACGGCGTTTCAGCCAGTGCTGCAGCGGGCGCATGTGCAGTAATCCCATGTGGAGTACTGATGATGCAGCTGCCATTAGACCAAGCAGTCTCTGAAACCTCTTCAGAGGTGCGCGCTCGCGCGCCCTGAATGCAGCTACCAGCGTCTGCACCGAGAGCGCGCGCTCTTGAGTGAGCCACGCTTTCATTGTCACCGAGTCTAAAACCGTGCCTAGAAAGACCACAGTCTGGCTGGGATTCAGTTCGCTTTTGGCAACATTGATTGTGAGACCCAAGCATTTTAGATGGCTGAGAATCAAATCCCTGTGAACTATTAGTTCGTCTCTCGACTGCGCTAGCACCAGCCAGTCGTCGAGATAATTCAGCACACGCACTCCCTGGCTTTTCAGCGGGGAGAGCGCTGCATCCATACATTTCGTGAATGTACGGGGTACCAGAGCCAGACCGAACGGCAGAACGGTGTATTGATATGCCCTCCCCTCGAAGGCGAATCTCAAAAATGGCCTGTGACGAGGGTCGATCTGAATATGAAAGTATGCATCTTTCAGATCCATTGAAACAAACCAGTCCCCCGGGCGAACCTGCGCGAGAATCTGTTTGAGTGTTAACATTTTGAAAGGCC